CTGCTGTAGCTGAACCCAGGACAATGCATCTATTGATATATTTTTAGTGACATACATATGTTGTAGATGTGTTTAGGTAGTACCAGTTACAGCAGGTGATAAGACTTGATGGACCACAAAGTGCTTTCTGTCCTAAAGATTTTTAGTGAGTTCATTAGCGTAAGACAGATGCAAAGCATAATGTGACTTTGGCAATAACCAAAATGCTTTGTTTCTTCATAAATAATACAAACATAGTTCATCTGATCAGACAGATAAACTGAGAAGTATGAGTTTGTTAGCATCTTTTTGGTTTTGCTTTTTTGAGTAAATTTATGGAACTTTATAGTTATTTTGTCTTACAGATGCAGCAGTAGTAATAGTGCAGGATAGAACTGAGCATCCATGTCTCAGGTCAGTCAGATTTTCTGTGGGATTTTGGACCTGTTGCTCTGCTTTGGTCTATACAGGGTGTGGGAAGGTGAGGTAACCTAACTTGCTTGCTTTAAAAGCATTTCTCTTCAGTAAGCTAGAATTTCATGATAAAGCATTAACTGATTTCTGAGAAGAAAGCTTACTATGAAAAGTAAATTTGGTTCCTAAAGTCCTTTGGGCTGAGTCCAGGGGAGAACAGTTCTTGCCTCTCTGTTTTCAGGTTTAGTGTAGCTATGGTGTTGGGAGTTGTCAGTGATGTATTTCAACTGCTGGGCTAGGAAATGTTTTCAGCTGCACTTCTCTATTTCACTTTTGCGGTCAACTCTTTCATAGCTATTGCCACCTGAAGACACAAGAGTTGCCATTAGGGCAGAGACTATTTATTTGTTACCTGGATGAACTGAATTGTGTGATAGCTTTCATCCGGACACAGAGGCAAGTCAGCCCTCAGGACCAAGAGAGCGAGATGCAGGCCTTCTTCCCCAAAGTGCTGAGCCAGGGCTGAGCTCACCGTGTCTCTCACCTGCTCTTTGCTCAGACTACTGTGAGGGTAGCCTGGAGTGTCAAGTACTCGAACACGGAGAGCTAGCTCACAGCCATTTCTTCGTATAATCCCCAAAATGCAGCAGCTGCGGCCAAGGCTGCAGCATGTAGTCACAGAGTTCGAGGAGTGATAACTCTTAAAGTCTGAGCTGCCCAGCAGACTGTTCCCAGCAGCACTTTTGCCACTCTGAGATCTTCCAAGGACAACAAGGTTGATGGTCATCTCATTACTGCTTGCCATTTTCTGTGCTTTTATCCCCAAACCTGTCATTAGGTGAAGAACAAATAACATGAGCTGTTTCAGAAGATCTAGCAAAAAATTGCAAAATTCAATGTCTTTTTAGTGTCATTCCCTGCCTGAAATAGTTTAAGGACTGTGTGGTGTAGCTAGACATGAAGTACAGCACATATACCTTGGATCCACAGACAGTTCTTTGCTGCCCTTCTTAGTCTGCTGGTTAGAAATAAAAAGACCTCACAGAAGGTGTCACAGGTACATGAGCAAACTAACAGGCTGCGCTCCTACACTGGCAGAAACTGAAGAGCTGGGAAAGAATTGGGCATGAGAAGTATTTAGGGAACAAGTAAAGCAAATAAAGCTAGGGAGAAGCAACAGGGAAGGGAGGACTTGGGGAAACAACCATGGAAAGCAGGATCAGCATGCAGGCAGAGTTGGTTATGAAAAGGAGGAAAGCTAGGGGAGGAAGAAGATAATGGTGACAAATACATGCTGTTATTAAGGGATCATGTTTCAAGAACTAAATCTTTACTCAGTTTTTAGGAAAAAAATGGATAGTCAGGGAGAAGCAGCTTTTAAAGGAGCAGTTTTTCACAACAGAGAACAGCTTAGAATAAGCCTTTCATCAGCTACCACTAAAGTTGAAATAGATGGTAATCTGAAAGGGCATTCTGATAGATAAATATAAGAAGTATGTCCTGATGAAAAAAGAAAGAAAAGTTGAAATAGCCAATGCTGCAGGTTCTAACCCCATATCAAATGAAGACTTTGCGAGTGTATACTGTACAGACTTCTAGACTTACGGCGCAGTTAGTGGAAAAGAAAAGCGTAGACTGGTGGACAGGAAGAAGTGATGGGTATCATTTCCAGTTACTATAATTGTTTATAAATACGCCCTCTCATTCTCTTTGTACTTTTCTGTAATCCAATGTCTGAAGGAGTTTTGGTGCACATTAATTGTCTAACAGGAATACTGGCTGATTAAATAAATTCAGAGGTGTTTCCAATATGGAAAACTATATTGTCAAAGAAGTAGTTGATTTCAAATTATCAATGACACGTGAACATAAGAAAGTTTGGGGGGGTTGTTGGTGATTTGTTGTTTTGTTGTGGTGTTTGGTTTTTGGTTTTTTTTTTTAAATATACTACATTTAGGCACTCAAAGAGATCCTGGATTATTTTAGAATGGGATTTCCTGTGATTAGTTTATTTAGATTCTTGCTTGTGCAGTTCAAGCTTTCTCCCTCATATTAAGCCCATGCCAGAATCAATCTTTTTGAAAAAACCTTAGTACAAAGCCAAACATGCAAGAGCTATTAACATACTAATTTTGTTACATGATGATACTCCCTACTGAATTCAAGTGAGGTATTTGTGGATTTTTCAATGATAAATTAACCTTTTTTTTAAATTTATTTAAGAATACCTTTTAAAAAAGACACATTATGAAATGGTTGTCATCATTTATTCATCAGTCTAGATGTGCACTGTATTCTTTTTCTGTAGCATAATAATATGACATGGTGGATGTGCATTCGTGCATTCCATTTTTAAATCATGATCAAGGATTTCTCTTCTTTTCGTGTAAGCAGTCTATGCTTAAATAATTACATAAATTTCATATTATGTCACTTACCTTATTTTCCCTTAAATTCCTCTTTCAGACTTCATGAACCACGTGTGCAGTGTAAAAAGAAGTTCATATGTGAACTTTGAAACCAACAGCAGCAATGTACCACTCCGAGACTGTTACGTACACATTAATCTGGTTAATCTATTACTAATATATCTTCATTGAATTGGTTTGGTCAGTAATTGACACTAAATTTTTGCAACTTAGCTGCAAATGCAGTTTTTGCAATCACTTTCGTGATTGTATAAAGTTGATTTTTTTTTTATTTTTTTGGAAGTTGCTTGAGTTCTACCAGCAGTTAAATGTGAGAGTGGTAATGGAGGAATAGGGATTATTTTGTGTTGCATGTTCTTGAATGGGTGTTTATATATGCATGTGAAGAGCAGATGCTCTTTCTCTTATTATTGCAATGAATTAATAATTGCAATATTTTCAAAGCACAGTGTAAACCATATGTAGATGAAAAGCTGTTTGCCTAACAAAGATGCATTAAAATAATAAAAAATTGGATTAAAATATAGATGTTATTTGTGAATCTGGAAGAAAACTGAAGACTTGCACCACTGCCAGTGATGTGCGTTAGCTGTTGGCTTGCTAACTTGAAACATTTGGCAGGGGATTTGGGTCTAGATGATCTTAAGGTCCTTTCTAACCCTAACCATTCTATGATTCTGTGATTTCTCTTGCAAGCATCATTCTTAGCCATGCTATAGTAACATTAAAACCAGGAATAAAAAGATTGTCCAGTAAGAACCTATCACTTGCTTTTTAGACAATTTCCTTGCAAGGGGGAAAGTAACTGATTTAAACTCCTATGCCATAATGGAGAAATTAATATAAATTTGTGCTTTAATGACCAGGTTGTGGTAGTAAAATGAAAAAGTGGAGTAAGCCCTTGTCTGTTCACAAGGAAAGCTTTAGATAAGCTCCCTCTCTGTAAATCCCGCATGGGTGGAAGCACATGTTTACTCCAAAGGTATTAAGGTATGTGTCATTACAGTAATAACAGGAATCTGGTACAAGGCTGGCTGTGTTGGGAGGAAAAGAGGAAGGTGCTTTTGAGAGGCCAGTCCAGCTGGTGACATTGTCGTCCAAAATGTAGTTCTATGTGGGAACCCATAAGTATTGGTTTACTGCAGTGCCAGGGCTGTTCCAGCCTGCTACAGCAGTGGAGAGAGACTTTAATTCCTCTAGAAGCCTGTTGGTTCCCACTGTGGTACCACAAGCACAGCTGGTACTTTCGCAGAAGATAGTAGTGAATGGTGCCTTCACATCCTCCTCGTGTAAATTCACATCATTCATCATGAAAGAATTCATCATTTGTGTTACTTGGCTGCAGATGGCTGTTGCTTGGTGTTTTTTTAAGAGTACATAGACTAGTTAGTTGTTTTCAGACAGTTCCCTGCTCTTGAGCTTTACCTGGTGAGAGGTGAAACATTAAATCTTTTCCTGTATTGCATGTGTAGCCAAGGCAACTACTGATAATTTCCACTGTGAAAAGCCTTGCGGCTCAGTCCTGTGCACAGCCTTTGTGTATCAAGCCTGTGTTTATATATAAAGTGTATAGCAAGTTTCCTTCATTTGCTAAAGGATACGAACTCAAAGAAGTCTGGATGAAGGGTGACTCACAAAGCAAAATGGTAGATCTTTCTCATAAACCTGTGGATAAAATCCACATGCTTTGTTTAATTTGCCTGGAAGTCTTGACTTTGGTTAAATTGTCACAGTCTAGCTCTTTACTTTTCATTGGACTGTTCGTATGCACAGTAATGCTTTTCATGACATCTGAAGCAGTGGTACATCCTAGCAGTCACATCCAACTGAGCCAATAGCCTGCCAAGGGGATAATTTTGAGCTGTGCATGGACAAGGATTTAGACTACCAAGAAAAGTAGAATCCCAGAAGCAGAGGAGTGTTGCATGCAAAATACAGCTTGCCCAGGTGCATGCATATCAGGACTTTTATGCTGGGAAGATGGCTGTAAAATTAAGAGCAGTGTAGATGAAGCATTGCCTAAATGATGACTAAAACATGGCTAAGCAAACTTCCCCACAAAAAAAGGCATTTCTTTCGAGCATTATTACGAAAGTAATACAGTCCGAGTTAGGACGTACCTGGAAGATCTTACAACAGCACGGGCAGAGAATTTTAAGAAGTCTTTCCTGGGAAAAAATCAAACTGATTTATATGACACTTGCTTAGGCTCCTTTATGTACGTGGAAAGAGTCTTCCCCAAGGTGGCAGTATCAGCCTGCACCACAGGTACTGTAAAACAGCTGGGGTCCCCCCTGCTCTGGAGTCCTCTACTGAAATAAAATACCAGGTCAGAAATGAGCTAAAGCACTAGAACATATAGAATAATTACAGGAGTCTTCAAGCGTGTCCTGAAATAAGAAATATAAAAAGTGTTTGTCTCTCCTTTGTCACAAGAAACATCTTTTATTTGATATATAAAATGCAGATAGCATAGCACCTCAACAAATTTGAACAGCAGTAATGGAAAGGTAGCAGGTAAGAAACTGGAAGTGTTGCTGTCCCTTATTTGTTTCCTTTTCTGATCTAGACCTTTGTTTTCATTAGCTTTTAAGATGAATTGAGGACCTCTATTGTGGGGCTTTGGATATGAGATCATAAAATCTACTATCACAGTATGAATTTGCAAAGTACAAGTACAGAGTATGACAAATTTGCCTTGGACGCTTTTTAGCAATGCTTACTGCCATTGGGTAAGCTTTTAATTTTGTTGTCTTTGTTTTGTATAACTTTATTATTGAAGTCACAAAGAGAAAGCCAAAACTGAGCCTATCACAGATTGGCAGGCAGGAAGGCTTCCTGTAACTGATAAAGGAAGGCTTGTACTGCTCCCATAGAAATACCAAGCAAGTCTAGTGAGGAATTGTCAAGCATCTAAGGAAGTAGGCCCCCTGAAAATAAGCAGCATGTGTATCCAGCTTCTTTAGTTGTCTTTGAAAAACTAAAGCTAAGATCATTTGCAAGTAGCTGTTGAGTTTGTGTGTATCTACAGAGCTAACTACAGTTGCAATGCGTCTTAGTCACATTACTGTGTCAGCTGCTGTTCTGCATAGTCCTTGTGATCACCCAGTTGATTTGCATGCACCCTAAACAAGCTCTCCGTGATGCTTGTTAGGGTATGCCAAGCAGGCTAGATCTTGTAAACCAAAATAGCATAGTTTCTCCTTAGGCACATGGCATGTCTTACCATGTGTCATCTTTCAGTTCCCACGCCTTCCCATCCCTTACAGCTTCTTCCCTGATGTGGGCTCTCATTTTAGTTCAAGATGATGCTATAATAAGTAATTTAAGATGTGCTTTGATGAATTTCTATTACTTAGAGAAAACCCAGTGAGGCCATTTTATGGATTGCC